ATGTCCATGCACTTGACATCGAGACGATCAATTTGAGGATATTTGAGAATCAAAACAACATTTTCTAATGAAATTTTTGAGGTGGACTCTAATTTGATTGTTTAGAGCCTCAACTCTATTTAAACTTTTTCCCTTACTTTAGCATCACTGAGTGTTTAATTTCAAAAAAGAAAAAAGGTTCTTGAGCTCCTAAACATTTACATCTAACCATCCAAAAATTTGACCATCTGTTCACTCCTATGATTTTTGTTCTCTTTATTTTAGTTGGTTTCGGATGTTACTTTAGGGTTCTAAAAGAACTCTAGTATAGGTTCTTACCAAGGGAATGAATACATGATATGCTTCAATTACAACATTTCATCTTTTGGTATATATATATCTTTTGGTATATATATAGGAAGATACTACAAAACGCCTATAGGTGAAAATGAATATTGATTTTGTCTACCCTCGTCACCATCCAAACTTCATTACACGATCACAATTGTTCGGTAGTATTTCATTTTTTATTTTTTTTAATAATTGGAATGATCTAAAATTTGGAGTGTAAATTTTTGGGATATTTTGGTCAACTTTTATTTTACGAAATATTTTTTTTCATATTTTTATTAAGTGAGCCTCACTAAGACATACACACGGTTTAAATTTTAAGTAATTTGGATTTGTAGAAAAACAATGAAAAATGAAATATTACTAGACAATTGTGACCGTGCAATGAACTTTGAACGGTGATGAGCATAGGCGAAATCACTATTCATTTTCGCTGATAGGTATTGGGAAGAGTTTTATATATATATATATATATATATATGAGTGGATTCTTTACACCCACGCGCTGACCGCTACAGTAAATGCTAATGGCCTAGAGTGCATCTGGGCCGATCTGACGATCACAGATGTCTAATAGTATTTGAATTTTAATTTGTTTTTTTCTATAAATCCAAATCATTTGAAATTTTAGGCATGTGTTCTTCTCATCAAGGCGCACCTAATAAAAATATAAAAAAAATAATTTCAAAAAACAAAGACCAAAATACCTCAGAAACTTTTCAAGGCTATTTTGATCAATTTATTTCATGTAAAATATTTTTTTATTTTTATCATAGATTCGTCTACTTTTTAAGAACACATGCCTAAAATTTCAAGTGATTTGGATTTGTAAAAAAAGAAATTCAAATACTACCGGGCATCCGTGATCGTCAGATCCCCGTTAAAGTTGACACAGATCTATAGAAAAGTTATCACATGGGTGTGAGACTTGACTTTTCTAGATATCTTTGGCAAATTTAATGGTGATCCTTTGGGGTCCTATACAAATGAGTGTGGGAGGGTCTCATAGAATCATTACTCTATGTACATATAGGGTTTGTCTAAAGTTAACAACCCCTTAAAATCCAAAAGGTTCAAGTTAGAAGGGGTTGTGATGGGTGCATTTATCAAAAGAATGATTACTTTTTTGTTAAAAAATTATTTAAATAGGTAAATTTACAATTAAACAAGGGCAAATTTGAAATTTTCACAAAAATACAATCGCATTTTGAAAATTAGTATCCTGGAACTTTATCTGTAGAGTGTCATTGTCTTTTAGTTAAAATTTCAATTGTGTCCCTTCTGGAGATGATAATTCTCAAAAAATGATCAAAATACCCCTTAAACTTTTTGGGGTATTTTGGTCAATTTATTTCATGTAATTTTTTTTATATATATTTTTCATAGATTTACCTATTTGTGATGAACACATTTGCCAAATTTCAAAACATTTCTATTTGTATTAAAAAAATAAAAAATAAAATACTACCAAAACATCCGTGATCGACCCAGATTCGATCTGGGTTATTCAGCGTTTACTGTTGCAGTACGCGAATCGGTGTACCGTAGCATCTTCCATATATATATATATATATATATATATATATATA